TTTACAGACCTCTTTAGATTTCAGTGCAGAAATCTTTATCTGACTTTAGCTGAAATTCAATAAGACCAAAATATTCAACCAGACACTGAGTTTAACTTCATCCTTTCTATGGTATTTGCTTTCTGTTACTCTGATGGTTATCTGGTGAGGTGTGGGTCAACAGAACAGCCGTGTCATGCTACACCCCCACACACAGTCTCAGTGGAGGGATTTTCAACTGCTTTTAGCAAAGCTTCAGGCCAGACAAAAGGTACATTTACTAGATACTCCTCTGCTAATGGCTACTAATGACATACACACACAAACACACTCAGTCAGTGACACATTTAATTCTACCACTTGATGAGGCTTTTCTATTAGTGCAGTTTCAAATAACAAAAATTAAAAATCTTTAAAAAAAGCAGATGTTCTATATCAAACAATCTATCCAATTTCTCATACTAAAGTGTTTCAGCTGTTCAGTCTATTTAGGTTTGTACATCACTGGGTCCTCTTGTAGGGAAAGAGTTAAAGGGCGTTTTTCATTGAACACAGTTGCCTCAGGATCAAACCACTGAGTCTGCAGAAACTTAATGCATCAAGTGACAAAATTAAACCTTAATAGTTTTCATCATAATAACTTTAAAGCTGTGTATAATTAATGTGTTTTCATATTAGCTTTACATATTTTTGGGGGTGCTTTTAAGCTATTTAAGAATTCAGATGAAATGACTGTTCTTTGGTCCATTTAACTGTTTTTCTGATATTTCTTTAGGAGTCAAAAATGCAGAATTAGAGTATGAAAAAACATGTTTACATAATTAAAGAATAAGAAAATCATAAAACTACTTATTTAGTCATTTAACTCCTACAAACACAAAATACTATTTCCCCCCTTACACATAGAATGGTGCTAAAATGCATTAGCCAAGCTTTATCAATATGCAGATGATATCATTGTGTACAGCGTTCAATTCTGCAGTTAGTTGTGCAAAAGAGAATGCTTGAGGTTGTTTACACTCATTACATATTAAACATTGACATTTAACCTAACTAAGGCCTGTAGAGTGAGATTGAGCTCTGTTTTTTTCTATTATTTCAATGAGTTTTGTTCTGTTTGACATTTGATTGAATTTGCTGGCCCATCAATTTCTTAGATTACCTGCAAATGCCTTTAATCCCCCTTTGTTTTAATTTAATGGGGTAAATAAGAACAGACAGAAAACAGCAAAAGAATATCTCTGCTGTATACTAGCTTAACAGTATTTAAAATAGTTATCAGCCTTCTTCAAATATTAGTTTGCAATGTGGATTACCTACAGTAAGAAAATCATTCCACAACTGTTTTGCTGTTGTGTTTTATGCTCTGATTAAAGGTTACCTTTGTTCTGTTTGTTTCTATTTTCAATTTGTACTTGATATTCTCATTCAAAATGTTTTTCATCATCAGTTTATTTCTGGGTTTCACATTTAAATAATTAGAATAATTTTCTGTCTTGACAAGGCTGTGATATTACACATTTAAGGAGTTCAGAATACGAATTTTATCTGTAATACATTGAGTTTTTTATGAAAAGGTGCTAAATTCTCACAAATCCTCAAGTTAATTCCCGTTTAATATACTGGTGATGGTTTTCAGTGATCAAACTAATTAGAAATGCTCATAAAATATCCAAACAGATCTAGATGAAATTGTTGTTACAGAGGGTAATGTTCATTTTAAATGTTGATGCATAAGAAATAAAATTGGTCTTTACAGTAAGGGCATAGTTTTCATTTAGGACAAAGAGACAAGTGCTTCCACACCTCATGGGGTCTATCTGTGTATGTGCCACACTGTGTACAGTCATGTTCAAACATTATAATTCTAGTTATCAGAGTTGTTGTTTGTCCTTTAAATGGTAGGTTGCTGGTTCGAGTCCCTGCTCTGTCTGTTTTAGTTGTTTCCTTTAGGAAAACACATTCACACATCTCGCCTGCTGTGAAAGGGCTTGTTGGTGCAGATTGTATGGAGACCAACTTCTGTCAGTCCTGATAATAGTAAAATCTGCACCCTGTGTGGATGGCTAGTTTACTGTAAGGTGTTTGTAGTCTTCCAGCCATTTACATATTTTCAGTTTTACCATTCAAGTAATGTAATTACAGCCTCTGCAGGTAGCATGAATGGTACTTTACCTGTGGTTATCTGTTAGGTTAACCCCAACCTCTTTACAATGTTCCAATCTCTTGTTTTCTTTTAATGTTATTGTCTGTTAAGACTTGTTCTATTGCAGTTACTTTTTTTATTTGATATAATAAAATACAATTTTTTTTTAACCTCTTGAATTTAAGCTAATCTAAAATTAAGTCAAATAAAAATAAGGCCTTAAATTGGAGGTAAGAATCAAATGGAAAATTCACAATCAGTTAAAATTGGTCCAGATGATCTCCATGAGGACATTAAAGAGATACCCGACGGAATCCAAGCAAAGATACAGCCATGTAAAACATCCTTAGCTGTGAGTAGAAGGGACTGGTGGTTTGTAACCTCATACCACACACATTTCTATTCAGCTTGTGGGTTAATTGGAAGCAGACTTGTGCCTGCGTGTGGCTTCAAAAGCCTTCCTCCAGCTTTAAAAGCTTTTCAGCAGTGAACAGAGCCACACACACCTACGGTGTTAGCTGATGTGTGGCAGACAAGACGCTGCGGCTGTTTATTTAGGAGATAACCTAAAGTGATTGGTTGACCTTTACTCTGCTTGGTTTTGTGTTCCCCAAACAGACTGTAGGAAGGAAAGGACATAGAAAACATCTTAGGTGATTAAATTCAACTTTGGATTTTACTAAATATTTTTTATTCAATATCCATGTCTGAATTTTTTTTAAAGACCAAGTCATAAATAAGTTAGAATTTTGATCTGAATGTGTAACGCAGAAGATTGTTGATCCTATTTGGGATGTTTATGCCCATGGACACAGTCTATGGGTTTTCGTGGAATCACTGCCATTCGATGCACATCTTCATTATATTTAAATTGTTTTTATATTTTACAACAGTTTTAGTTTGTGAAAGCCCAAGTGTGAAAAATAGACTTTAATACTTTATTAATGAAACAGAACAGAAGGTATTTGGGAATTGCAGGAGAAATAGATTTTTGAAACAAAGGTCAAAAAGCTGGCAGTGTCACAAAGCAATAGATAAATGTGTAATATACCAGCAGGATCCTGCAAAGAACAATGACAACTATGTTAAAATGGGGAGCAACCCAAGCAAATTGTAGGCTCATTTATATAGATTTAGGCAAAGTTCTGAAGATTTGACAGAAATAAGCATTTTGTATCCAAAAAAAAAAAAAAAAATAAAATACTTAGATCTTTGGGTTCAGCTAATGAGAAGTGGAAGAAATGGTAAAACAAATTGGATTTATATATTTTCTCTTAATTAAAGTCAAAATGCCTGATTTCTGTTTGAAACAAAGTGTTTTACAGTTTAAAAAACATATAATCACTTGGAAATTTGCTTAAAACATTTGAAAAATAATTATAAAAATCCATTTACTTTTAAGATGTGGTTTATTTTAAATATAAAGAGATTTATTTAAAGTTAGTAAATTTAAGCTACTTATTTCAGCAACATCAGAGAAATAATCATAGCTCTTTCAGTACTACATCAAACCTTAGCTTTGGGACCATAGAAAAAGTGTTTACCTTCAGCTTACAAAAATGGGAGCAATAAGAAAGTGCTGCTTTTTGAAACTTTTGTTCAGTGTATTATGAAATTTTTCTGTCAACCTGGTGATCTAACATGGCTTTGTCCTTTAAATCACTCTGCAACCCTTTTCTTTCTACATTAGGAAATAACATGGAAAATAAGACATCTGATTATGTAACATTTCTATCATAAACAGGCTGTACTCCCTGCACTATTAAGTTTATTGTGTTTGTCATCACATTATTTTTGTGTTGCTGCAACACTCTTCACACTTCTGTGACAGTTTAATTCTCATATACTTGGTTAAAAGTTTTTTGAATTTTTTCCCCCCAGGATTTTAAGTGTGATACAGAAAATTATGCTGTGATTCTAACGTCTTGTAAACTTTAATCTGTCTTTTTACGTTGACTATGGAGTAATTGCTTCTTTCTCCATGAGGGGTCTTTTTTCTTATCATCCTTTATCAGAATATTTACAAGATTTTTTTTTAATTGTGATGTCTGCGTTTGCTGCTTTTACTTCTTTACTTTTTAGCGACCTTTCCATTAATATCATTTAATTTTTTCATCATCCCCAGTGAGAGACATTTTAGAAGAACACATTTTCACACACTTGATTTCTCAACATTTAAATCAAAACTTTCTGCTGTTTCGAGTAAAAAAACCCTAATCCCGAGCCTAAAAGGAATGACAGAAATGAAAATGAATGACAGATTTGTTGACCTCTGACCATGTGGTTAAAGATGAATCTCTCTGTATTTATTTTTTAACGACAGCTGGAATGTGGGTTTTGTCACATTAAAAACAGACTTCTGACATTAAAGTTTCACTTCATTGCTAGTGTTCTTGCAGAGGTAGGTTTTTCTTTTTCAACAAATATGAAATTTTTTAAAGGGCATACAATGCATCTTAAATATGGTTGGGATAAATAATACCAACGCCTTTCATTTTTCAGGATGGCTTATCGTCTTTTCTTTGTTTCTGTTGCTGTCAAAATGCCAGACCATATATTATTATGGAGTTAGGTAGATGTCTACCAGCTCCAGGCTGTCGTCCCACTGGGAATTACACATTTCCCAAACGATTTTAAGCTTGCGGCTGCAGCTTATGATGAGTTTGCACAGATCTTTGCAAGGGGGTGGGTTGGTGGATGATGGAGAGGCCGTGTCATGTTACTGTGAAAGCACAGTTTCCTTCAGGGAAGGAGGGCTTTTCTTTGTGTTGATTTGTGGCTTATTTGCATGTGACCCTCCTCCTTGTTCTGGATTGGCTGATGCCCCTTCTGGCATGTGAAAACACATATCCATACTTTCTTAGTTGGAGGAAAACTTCTCTGCGATAAGGATGAACTGAGTTGCAGGAACGCCAGCAGCTGTGTGAGTAAGAGTAGACAGAGAGCAGCTGGAAATTATGGGGAATGATATGATAATATCTTAAGTTTCTTACTTTTTATCAGCTGAATTATTTCTTCTATAGCTTTATTTGTGTATTTCACAAAAAACAAAACTTTTCCTACAGTTAGTGTCTGTAGTTAGGTTTTGTTGGAGAAAATTACTTTTTCTAACCAAAATGGCTATTTCTTAAAAATATTAAGACTTCAGTTTTAGAAATTCAAAAGGTTTAATTTGTCATAATTTTTTGGGCAAAAAAAAAAAAAAAAAGTAAATTTAGCAAATAGACAAAAGGTTTTTTTTTTTTTAGATCAAAATGCTGCTGGCTCTGCTTCTGGTTTTAAACTTTTCCTATAAGATTCTGTCGTCTGAGTCATCTTCAGTAACTCTCCAATACCGAGTTTGGGAGGAGCAGCCAGCAGGAACTCAGGTCGGCCGTCTGTTAGACGACCTCCGCCAGAGGGATGAATTTGGTTCTCTAGAGGATTTCCATGTGGTGGAGCAGGTGAAGGCCCTTCCTTTCTCTGTCACCACACGGGATGGAGTTGTGACCACCCAAGGCCAACTGGACAGGGAGGAGCTGTGTAGGGGATCAGACCTTTGTGAGGTGGCCTTCAGCGTCCTCTACAGAAAAAAGGGAGCTGTGAACTACCTGCGGGTTCGTGTTGAGGTGATGGACTTAAACGATCACAGTCCCAGCTTCTCAAACACCACACAAGAAGTGGAAATCTCAGAGACTGCACCCCTTGGGATGCGTATACCTCTAGATCGAGCATTTGATCCTGATGCCGGGCCCAACGGCCTCCACAACTATTCCCTTTCAGTCAATCAACACTTTGCTTTGGAGGTGACAGATGCTCCAGGAGGATCAAAACAACCAGACCTGGTGGTGATCAAAGAACTAGACAGGGAGGCTGAAGACTCCTTTGACTTGATTCTGGTAGCATATGATAAAGGGAATCCACCAAAATCTGGGAGCATGTTAGTCCATGTCACAATTCAGGACTCAAATGATAACAGCCCGGCTTTTAAGGAAACTAGTCTTACTGTGACTCTAAGTGAGGATACAACCATTGGGACAACCATCATCAAGCTTACAGCAACTGACCCGGACCAAGGTGCCAACGGGGAGGTGGAATACTTGTTCAGTAAGCACACACCTTCAGAGGTTCAAAAGATCTTCCATTTGGATTCACATACTGGAGATTTGATTTTAAAGGCCCTTCTCGACTATGAGAGGGAGGCATCCTATGAGCTCAACATACAGGCTATTGATCATGGTCCCAATAGTATGCCAAGTCATTGTAAACTACATATTAAACTTGTAGATGTAAATGATCACGCACCAAGAATCAGCACGTCATGGGTTACACACAATTCAGCTGTCCCCACGGTGTCGGAAATAGAACCTCCTGGTACGTTTCTTGCACTGGTGACAGTTAATGATGCAGATTCAGGAAAAAATGGAGAAGTGAGAGTGATTATTCAAGAAGGATCTGGCCCATTCCATCTTAAATACAGCGATCATAATAATTATTTGATTGTGACAAATGATTACCTGGATCGAGAGAAGGTTATGAAGTATAACATAACGCTAATCGCTCAGGACAATGGAAATCCACCTTTAGTAACTGTTGAAAACCTACCAGTTAATGTCCTAGATGAAAATGACAATACCCCAATATTTTCTGCCTTGATTTATAAGGCTTCAGTTAAGGAGAACAATGTTCTAGGGCTAGAAGTTCTTGAAGTTAAAGCCAGTGATAGAGACCAGGGACTCAATGGAAAAGTTTCCTACCAGATTAAGAGGCCTATTGACCAGGAAAGTTTTTCAATTCATCCAACAACTGGAATCATAAGAGTACTTCGCAGTCTAGACTATGAGGAATTTCACAGCTACTCTTTCCTTGTGTTGGCTGTGGACTATGGATATCCTCCTTTGACAGGTACTACCACAATCCGAATTGATGTTGAGGATCTGAATGACAACACTCCCATCATTACAGAACCACCACCAAAAAATGGGGTGGTCTCTGTGAGTGTCCCAGTGAATGCACACAAAGGGGAGATTGTGTCTGAGCTTGGAAATGACAGGGATGAAAAGAACACTTTGCCAATCAATCAAGCAGTCACACATGGATTTAATGGATTTCTTGCAACCACAATTAAAGCTGAAGATCCAGACTCAGGACTCAATGGAAAACTAAAGTACATAGTTTCAAACACAAACCCAAATGACTTCTTCTGGATGGATCAAGACGCAGGCCAATTATTTGTCAATGTCACAAATGCCACTGAGCTTATTGGGAAAACTTTTACAATGGATCTTTCTGTATCGGACATGGGCATCCCCAGTTATGAGATTAAGGCTACTCTTGAGGTGACTTTCATCAGTCTCCATGACCACTTGAAAAACTCATCACCAGGAAACCGAGGACAGCTTAGCTTCACCATGATGATGGCCATTTGCCTGGCTGCCACATGCCTTCTTCTTTTGTTGGCCATCTCGTTGGTGACAACATTTTGCCGACCTGAGAAACGGGAAAAATGTGCTTACAACTGTAGACAAGCTGAGTCAAGCTACACCCGGCATCCTCGACGGCCCCAGAAGAACATAAGAAAATCAGACATCCAGCTGATTCCAGTAATCAGAGGACGAAAAGAAGAGCCGGCCGATGACAGTGAGGTTGAGCCTCTAACTCCTGCTCTGCTACCAGAAGATCAAAAAACTGAGAAGGAGTATAACTTTGTACCACCAGTTATGAACACTAGCCTTCATTCCCAAGGCTATCCAGAGGGGGATTCCTCTAAACATGTCACCCATCACTGCAAAGCTCTTAGGAAACCTGCAAATATTGAACTTCAAGGGACTTTGTCCTTGACACCAGCTGCATCATACCAGACCCTGTGCAAAACAAGAAACCCTTCCTCCTCCTCTTCAGTGTCATATTATAGCACATTGAGATGTAACAAGCTGCACCCAGAGGAACAGAGAGCATCCCAAGTGACTCTAAGGAGGCCAAAGACACCAGATAGCCAGCACAATGCAGAGCACCAGCAAATTCTTCAAAACTTGGTTCGTCTCTCAATGGCTGCATTTGGAGAGGACATCGAGCTTTCCTCAGCTTCCCCAGAAGTGCAGGTAAGTTGCACTTTCATACCAGCCTTTATAACCTTACTGGTTTTTCTTAAAATGTATTATATATTGTACATATTCCCAAATGGCTTCTTTTAATAGAATTTCATGACTTTTAATAAAACTAACCTGTAGTTCCTCTTTTAAACTCTTTAAATAATACATAATCATTTACTATATGTTCTGAAGTTACATTTATGGCAGAGAACATTGAGATAAAATGATAAATGTACCACTTTTCTTGACATTAATGACTTTACTAATATGCTGGAGGATTGTTTAATGTCTTCTTATTTACATTCTACACTGTAAGTGAAACATTGAAGCTAATGCAGGGCTGCTGCTGGCTCTCATTTAAATACCATTTAGTCAGATTTAAAATGCATGATCACATTTATTTAAACATGTACTTATAGTTAGAGTTTTAGTAATTAAGTACCCCCCCACAGGCTTTGTGATTAATCTCAAGTCAAGTCCATTAGAGAGTAGGAATGTATGCCCAACAGCACCCCCCTTCTCTCTAGCACACATAGAGCAGTTTCGCCTACAGCAAACCTCCATCCTTTTTCTTCCTTTAGCATGATGGCTTACTCAGAAGCTCTCAAGGCTGGAATCAAGTGGGAGGGAGGACAGGAGATGTTACTAGATGGATCATTAAGGTCTAAAGCATTGGGTATATTGAGGTACTCCTGTCAAAAAGAGAAAAAAAACCCTGAGTGATTGTGACAGCCATTTTATTACTGAATATCATATATGTGTTTTATCCTGAGGCCTGGAGAAGGAGTAGGACGATAGGAGTTCCAACCAGCCAACATGAGCTGTGATGTGTTTTTAAAATAAGCTAAAACTGCTGCAATGTATCAGTATGTTGCTGATAAAGGCTGCGGAAAAGGAAGAAAAACAGAGCCTAAAAACAGCTTGGATGCAAAACAAGAGTATACTGTCTGCTACAGAAACTCACTCTGTAGAAAGCTAGCTAATGTTAGCACATAAGCTGATATACTGTATATAGTCTCTACATCAGTTAATTCAGTAAAATCAGAGGCTGAAACTTTAAAAACACTCCACTCCATGCCTGCAGAAGGGGATGTCACGGCCTAGTGGTTAGAGCAGAGCGCTTATGTTCTGAAGAGGCTGTAAAAACTCCACAACTTGCCACCCTGGACAAAACCCTTAGACTGCTCCCTGTGCGCTCAGAGATGCTCACTGCTTCCTAGGGATGGGTTAGTTGAACCACGGACTTGGTGGGTTTTAGTTTCTGCCTGTGAGTTGGTGTGAGATGGGTCAGACAGTGATCAGAGAGGCCTCTACTAGTTCAGGGGGGATGGGGGTCTATAGAATATCTCCAGAAGTCATTTGATGATGGGCTGGCTACATTCTGGACAGGCCCCGAGTGCATCACAGGACATGTCTCCAAAGATAAAGACCTTACTCAATTTGAAAACTATAAACCTTAATTAATGACTCTTTTGGTGCAATTGATTTACTTTGGAACTGATTCTGGGAAATCATTCTCCATTGTTGGTATACAACTGCTACAGTCACTGTTTTAAACACCAACACAAACAGTACTTTAAGCAAATTAACAGAGTTGAAAAATCTTTCCTTAGAAATGCTTAAAGCTGAACATGAGCAACCTACTTAATTTTATATATAAAATAAAGAACTGGTATTTATTGTCAAAGTAGGGAAAATAAGTTATTGTTGATAATAGAAGCATTCATCTTGTATGCCAAAGTAGTGTATAGTTGTCAAAGGCTCAAGGGTTGATATGCACATTTTGCCCAAAAGCACATTTACCTCTGGGACACAAAACATGTCTCTTTCCTAAAAGATATGATGTTTGAAATCCCATGTTTCTTTTTACCACAAGTGAAATATTCTGGGTCCACAGTTCTATTACTAGTATGTTGAATCATTTATTTTTATTTTTCTGTTAAAAATAGTTGACATTTAATTGAGTTGTATGAATGTAATATGAATGGGACTGAAACGTTAAGAAAAGTGTTGTCAATGGGTTAATTGAAAACATTTTTGTGCTTATTTAATTACTGTTGTAAAAAGCTTTGGTGTCTAAAAGAATAGTGTTAGCTTCCTGTTTGCAATAAATAAAAAAATTGAGACAGATTTTACAGTTGAAGTTTTAGCAAAAGAGAGTAAAAATGCAGATTAACGTCAATGAGGGTAAAAAAGTCACCAACGCCCAGCAGACAAAGACTGCAATGAATCCCAATGCCCTCATGTGAATCCCATCAGACAGGAAGGGGCCTCCCAGTTGGCACTCATTGCCTCTGATGGATCTCTCCTCCCTTGAGCTTGCAGAGGAAGAACTGAACAAAAAAAAAAGAAGAAAAATATGCCAGAGGCTCACCGTTCACCTCCAAATAACATACACATCCATATTTCTCTGTCCATCCTGGAAGGAAGCTGAGCAAGAGAAGAATGGGCTTTTACGTAGAGGCCATTTCCTGTCCCCACAGCAGCATGCATGTGTAAAACCACACAACAATAATGGCTAAACAGTCAGAAGTGAATGCACACACTAACCTTTACTAGTGTGTTTGTATATTAACTCCCTGAAGTGCAGTGTGCATCCGCTGTATAATAGAGCTGTCAGCAGAAAACTGAGAGCAGTGAGACAGACAAATTCGCTCTGTTTTCACACTGTAACTCAGAAACAAAACAAAAGAAAGTTCACCTAAATAAAGGTTGTAATCATTGTTCATCCAATCAAAGCGTCGGAAACACTTATCATCACACCCTTACACAGAGCTGCAAGAGTTTGGATTTCTGCTCTCTAAAAAAAGATTATTTTTTTTTGTATGTGTTCTTCAATAATGTCAGAAATTTGCTTGTTTTTAAAAAGAAAAAAGAACAATATAACAGCAAATAAAAAAACGATTAAAAATCGATTTCCCAAGTCTCAGACAACAGAACATAAATAAGAGGAAGAACATGCAGAGAGAGCCAAGAATTTAAACCTGGCACCGTTGTGTTGCAAAGCAACACTACTAACAATCATGTACTGTAATTCATTTGAGAAAATGAGAAGTTCAAATGAGTAAAACAGTCTTAAACAGAAATATACACATATAACGTGTTTTCATTCCTTCTTCTCTCCTGCAGCAGATCTCTCAGCTCCTCTCCCTGCTTCGGCAGGGTCAGCTGCAGCCAAGGACAAACTTCAGAGGAAATAAGTATTCCCATCGGAACTGCAGGTATGTAGGATGTCTCATATTTTCCCTATAACACTGAACATTTTCTTTGCAAGGAGAGTCCAGGTTTTGTCTGGATCAGAGACCTTTCATGACATTTTGGGTGTCAGCAACAAAACTTCTGCATTTGGTTATCATTTTAGTTTAGGTTCAGTATATTTTAGGTATCTGCAATATAAATCATGGGTTAGAAGGTAATGACAACCCCAAAGTGTTGTTCCCTAAAATTAGGAGTAGGATAAAATTCCTCACCAGCAAAAAATTAAGAAAGAACAGTCAGCGTTTTGAAAAATATTTGATACACACTACATTTGCATGAAGCATGAAGGACTAAAAAAAAAAAAAAAAAATGTTGATGGCTGATTTCTGACAAAATAAAATAAGGTGTTAAACTGCTGGCTCCTAACAAAAGTAATTTGTTCTACTGTTAACCTAGGTCCACTTCAAATTAAACTATTCAAAAGTGTCAAAAGACACTGATTTAGGATTTGTTTTCCTCTTATCATTAGTTAGAGGTTTGTTTCAGAGCCAGCTGGCTCGCAGGTCTCAGGTTGTGATCATCGGTGCGCTCCCTGATCAAACGAAGATTCATCTGTTAACAGGACATGCTGACATTAAAGAGGAATGCCACCAATTTTAATAATTCACAGGTGTATTTTTCTTGAGCTGCTGAGATGGAGGTTGGTTGTGAAGGGTAGCATAAAAAAAAATATATATATATAAATATTTATATATATATATATATATATAATTATTTTATTTTCTCTTTGAAAAGGTTGATGAGTTACTAAAACATTAACTGTCTCTTTAGGATTAACAAAGTATTTTTTTTTTTATTGAACAGAATTTTTTGTGGTGTATTTTTCCTGAGCTATTGAGATGGAGGTTGGTTGTGAAGATTTTGGTAGGGTAGCAGATTTTTTTAAAAAAGAAAAAAAAAAAAAAAAAAAGAAAAAAAAATATATATATAATTTTATTTTCTCTTTGAAAAGGTTGATGAGTTACTAAAACATTAAATGTCTCTTTAGGATTAACAAGTATTTTTTTCAATTGAACAGAATTTTTTGTGGCTCTCAAAGCTTTGTATTGACATCAAAAAAATAAAACCTTACTGCAAAGCTCAATAAATCAATCAGTGAAGCATCTCTGTGAGTCAAAACGTAGTCAAAAACCATTTATTTCTACTTAACTCCTCAGATATACAAATGATGTATATAAAAAACACTGCAGCAATCATTGACCTTACCAGGAACCTTAACAGCGTGTTCCCTAAAGGTGTATGGCATTGTTTTTTTGTTTTCTCTAGTTGTGTTGTAACCAAGATTCCAAGAGTACAGTATGCATTGTTCTTTGTTTTCTAAAAATTTACCTTAAAACTCTTTTTTTTCCCAACTTAGCATTATAGGAGTCTGATATTTGTTGTTATTTACTATACTGCCCTACAGTAAAAATGTAGTAACTGCATTTCTGTTTGAAAATAATTTTTTTATGCAAGTTTTGATATGCCAGTCATCCTTTATTGTTTGACTAAATATCTCAAATGTGCATTGGTTTGGAGAAAAATTTACCATTAATGTATCTCAGCTACTTAACTTGCACAACATGATAACATTAAAGTAATTTAAAGTTCTAAATATTTGAGGTTAGGAAATGGAAAATAAATCTAACAACTCCACATTTCTAAATATTTGCCACAGATATGGAGGACAGGACTGCTCTGATTGGCAAAGTACCAAAGACAGTGGACATGGAGAGAGTGAAGCTGGTGATGTGGACTGGGAAGCAGGAAGAGACTCACCTATAGACCAACATCTAGAGGAAGGGCTCAATCTCCTCAACAGCCCAGGTAACATGTTATAAAAACACACCATTCTTTCTTGCCTATTTTAAGTTGGAGTGTAAACTAGAATAACTAAGGTTTTTTACCTAAAATAAACAGAACTTGAGTTTTTTTTGTTCTTTTCAAACTGAATATCTCTTTTAGCTGTGGGACTTTGGTGTTTCAAGCCTACAATACAGTAGATTAAATCAAATTTTAACAGGTAATACATCAGCCGTACAAACTGCTCGAACAATGAACATGTCAGAGTACGAGACAACAGGAAAAGAGTTGGAAATAACAGGAAAATTACACCTTGTTCTTATGGAATTTCTGCTTTTATTCAGATTTTTCTCAGATTTTAATCTATGGTCTTCTACCTTAATCAATCCTACCAGGTAACGGCATGTGACCCTTAAAATGTAAATAGAAATGAAAAGAATAAACAAAAACATAAAACCTGTGTAAGTACAGAAATCTTAGAGATAATTTCAACAAAATGTTTCCAATATTTCTAATCTACTTACAATAAATCTTCAATGCACAGTTTGTCAGTGCTTCATAAATTGTTTATCACCTAGCTGTCATTTGACAAGAAAGAATTCCCTAAATTTATTCATTAACATGCAAACTTCCTAGAATTTTTTTCTCACGAGATTGACGAAGAATTTAAAGTGACTTCCATACCGCATTGTAAGAGGCCAAGGGCTATCAGAGATGTTAATTAAATGTGAAAACCACACTAAAATATTGAAGAGCCCAATCTGACTTTGGAAGATTTTCACTGTTTTCATGCAAACTACAAAGTATTTAAAACATATTCCTCCCCAGGAAAGACTTGTAGAAAGTAGGTTTATGTTTGGATGGATAGTGAGACTTTATCAAACCCTAGCCAACATATCACAGCTGTCAAACACCAAACACAGCAGAGACTTATTGTTTAACAGGGACTTTTTCAGTGTTATGAAGGACACAAGCATCTGAGTGTGTACATTGGTGTGTTTTCCCAGTTTCTTCCTGGTATTGTCGTTTGGCGGCTGTAGGAGCCTCTAGGCAAGCGGGGGTTGGGTTGAGGTAGGGGTTACTGCCCAGCGGTGGAGGGCTTTACTTTATGACTGGTCGTAAGACAGAGACACAAAGGAGTGAGTGGGAGTGTTGTTGTGTGAGGAGATTGACTCACATTTCTGGCCCGAAGGGTCTGAGATGAGTGTAATGCACACCTGACACCTTAGAAGGAGTGTTGAAGGGCTGCATTATTGTAGAGCATTCCTCTTTTACTAGCTTTTTTTACTTGGAATGATTCACAGATAAAATCTGTCTTTTACTTTAGGGTTTAGTTCTTTACGTACTAAAACAAATTGGTTATAATTATTTTGCTATCTAAATATGTTGAATAAACTGCAAACATTTTATACGTCAAAAATACCCTAAAGCCTCACATTTCTTGTAACATATATATAAACTATACATGGTGGGCTGTAGGTTAATACAAAACAATGAGGGGAAAGGGTGTGTTAAAAGTAAAGGGGTTTACCTCAGGGGCAGTTTGAACCATCCTGGGTGGAAACAGCTGTGTTTCTGCGGATGGTGGTACATTGAAGTTTCCACATCTGGTTGTGGTTAGATGAAAGGGTTTTTGATCAGTCAAAGTTAAGGAAGGTTTTAAGGAATTGCATTCATCTGATGACTGATGGGCCACTTATTTCAGACTTTCATTCAGATTTTATTTTGAAGGAGAAGTTTCTCTTTTATGAAAAAAAAGGCTTGTCTGGATTTATCAAGTGTTCTACATCTATAAATGCCTTATCTGTCAAATAGCGACCTCAACTCAGGAAATTCTGATGATGTGAAAGGAAAACCAGAAGGAAAATTTCACCAGTTTGTTAGTTGATCACTATTCCAGGTCTCTCCGACTGTCTCTGATTAATAACTAAAAAAATACAATCATTAGTTCAAAGTACATACTTTACCCAATCAATCAATCAACCAATGTTTTTTTGTATGGCGCTTTACAACAACACCAGGAAGATCAAAGTGCTTTACAGAAAGATAAAAAAGATTGTAAAAACAAAAATCCAAAGCATAAATCAGCGTGTTCTAAATTTTACAAGCCAGTTTGAAAAAAAAAAAAAGTCTTTAATCTGCAGTTAAGAGTAAGCAAGTAGATTCAATGAACACAGCCTTTGAAGAGACAGCAACATCAGAAGGTGTTTCAAAGTATTGTACTAAATGCATGAAGCAGAACTGTTTATAAAACGTCAAAACCACGATAACAATTCAATTTTCTGCAACCCAGTTTATTTGATTTCATTTTATTTAATGAAAGTAGTTTAATTATTAACCATCATAATCAATATGTTTGAAAAATGCAGAAAATTCACAGGAGAAATAATGCATATGATTTGATAAATACATAGAAAACAGATACTGACCAGATTAAAATTGTGTAACTATGGCTTTAAAATGCAGAAAACATGTCTTTTGCAGAAAAAACTGCAGAACAGGGGCATGGATGTAAAAAACACTCATGTAACTTGGACCTCCCAGCTGAAACAAAACATTTGTACTTGTTGATTCAGAGAAAAACCTCTTTCTGATTTGAAGTTGTGAAAGTTTGGGGTTTGTTTTGGAAGTTTTGTTTTGTGCTTGTAAGTCCTGGAAAATTTTTCCAAACTGCATGAAAAAACAATGTCCCAAATGCAAATGCACATTCAATAAACTGGAATATGGATTCAAATGCATGTGTTTCACTTTGTAAACTAAGTTAAATAAATAAATATTTTCTCATCTTAACAATGATTTCTTTGAATGTGTAAATAAATACATAATGATAGAATATGATATATTTTAAAGTTACTTTACTCCTGTAATTTCATATATAATATATATTTATTTATTATATAGATTTCTAGAGAGTAATATTTTTTATTTTTACTTATGTAAACTATAGTGATGATGGTTTATTGCTGATATTAAAGTAGACATTGATCACATCCAGAAGAACGGAAAGGCAAGGCAAGGCAAGTTTATCGATATAGCACAATTTAGTACAAAGACAATTCAAAGTGCTGGAAAGATGATTGGAAGGAAAAAAGTGTTGTAAAAAGAGATAAACTTGAAATGGTGGAGCAACTTTTACTTAAGAAATAGGTTATCAAGCGTGTAGTAATTGAAACTGTTAAAAGGTTAATTTGTATTTAAGAGAGAGTTAGAGAAAGAGAGAGTGAGTGAGAGATGTATATATTGTAGCTACATCTGACTCAAACCTTTCCATTCTTGAATACATTTGGGCTTTTAACTAAAGTAGATCAAATGAAATCAAAATAGCTTCAAGAGGAACTCAAGCTGTCACAATGGCAGGAACAGCACATAAACAGGATGTAGTGACGAGGAAGATGGGGGGATTTTAACAAAGAGATAAACTCCAACATGTATCACAGTTAGTGAATGCATGAAATGGGCCATATAATCATTTTCCCCCTGTTTGTTTGTGTGTCAGAAACTGGGGCTGTGTTGTCAGTGTTTTTAAGCAGACACACCCGGTGTTTACGCCTCTTTGGGTCACTGAACTCTCCAACTGCTGAATGTTTGTACCTTCACTGTGGACGTGATGTTTAATGCATGCTCAAAAGAGCAGAGGATGCCAAAGATGGCAGGAAGTCCCTGTTAATGTCTGCCAGATAAAATCCCTGCGCTGTTTCCTCATTTCCCTGCCTTGTTCTCAGCTATGGGAGCACATGGAAACCAGCAGAACACAGAAACAGGGCTATTTCTATTCAGTCTGTTTAGCTCATTTAGTGTTTGAACATAAAGGTAGACTTCTGTGCAATGCTAACACGGATTTTAGTTCAACAAATCGCAGTTTTGTTTTACAAATCCAGCGCTGGTTCTGGCATAATCAGTACCCAGGGTGAGCCACTCATTCTACAACTCTTTAAATACCCACACTCCTTAAAAGCAGCCAGATTTATATAAAAGGGTAAGTAAAAAATGTGGTATGTGACTAAGTGCTACAACAAAAATCTTTTAGTATTAGTTCAAATAGGTAGAAATGAGGCTTTTAAGCATGCTTTCCTTTCTGGATTCAGTCTAATGTGTTTCATACATATAAAAAAACCATACAGTGTTTCCATGTGTGTGTTTTTAATAATACTGTACAGGTTCCCATAGTCTTAAATTCAGTTAAGATCAAGCCAGATGGGCCATGTCTCTTAATATATGTTTAAACAGCCCTTTAATTTTGGTATAAAATTACAAATTACCTTTGTGTTGACTAGGGAGTGAAAGGCAATCCACTTTTAAAGATTCACAAATAAAAAGAATGTATTGACACTTGGAAAACAATGCTAAAGAAAGTGGTATTGATTTTTTTTTTTTTTTAAATCAAAATATATGGTTGACAAACAAGCTTTTTTTGTTTTGTTTGCAGATGATGTTTTCTCAGAGGGCAGCGACCCAGCTTGGATGGCTAGGCTATCCTTGCCACTTGAAGCCGATTACCATGAAAATATTTTTGTCCCAAATGGTCCTTTATCCCCTGAAAGTGAGCTCCCTCCACGGACTGGCCTGAACTCCACCTCATCCTTCTCTACCTTTGGTAAATATTTATCAAGAAGTTACAAAGTAGGATTCATACAAGATACTGAAAGGGATGTGTGTGTTTTTTTGTTTGTTTATATTCTCTCTATATTATTGGAAATTTGATGACACAGAAAGACACAGAAAGAAAAATAAATTACAAAATTTTAGAAATAAAAATGTGGTGTACATATATCTTCAAACTGCCTGAGTCAATCCAGTTTGAGACCACCTCTACTGTAATGCAGTTAGAGCTACAATTCCTTGTGTAATCTATCCACCAGCTTTGCACATAAGATACTGTTCTTAGATAAGATACTGTTTAAGATACTGAGTTTTTCTGCCAATTTTTTTGAAGTAGATGGAACGTGTCTGTTACAAATTGTTATCTAATTTTACTAAAGATTTGGGTAGATTTTTCATCCATTATAAACCAGATGTTTTTCTAAACCATTCCATTGTGTTGCACACTCTACCATTGGATTTGTTCTCGTGCCTTGGCAGCAGTCAGAGGTGATGGCCTTATTCACAGCTACTTAAACTGTCTCTGAGGATGTAGAATTCCACCTTGCTAGGGGGAATGGAGACTCAGCTTGTCCCAGAAGTCAACTTTAAACTGCTTTTTTATAAAAAAAAATGTATTGTTATCACACTGTCCCAAGTACAGAGCAACAAAATTCAGTCTTAGCATTTGACCCATCCCCATAGGGACCAATGGGTTGCCATTGTGCGGCACCCAGGTAGCAGTCTGGGGTTAAGGGTCTTGCCCGAGGACCCAAAGCAGTCCGTGGGAGTGTGTGGGACTTGAACTCTGAACCTCCGAGACCCAAGCAAGACCCAGCTTTCCCATCTTGTGGTGGCATTTACCCCAGTGGATGAGAGGGCCACATCCCTTCGTCTTTGGGGGGAGAGGGGGTCTCTGACTGGTCTACTGCCATGTAACAACAGACGGAGGCCGTATCCCTTTGTCTTTGGGGGAAGAGTTGGTCTCTGACTGTTGTTACATGGCAGTACACCATGCCTTCTTAACATCCCTGGGTTAGGGATGTTTTCGCTAATGAACTCCATGTTTAAGGATAGGGTGTTCTGTCACCAAATGCATCTTGGCTGAAGAATCCGAACTTTGGTAGCATGTCTTGGAAACTCTGGTGAAAAGAGGGGTGAAGCTATGAATCAATCAGCTTGATACCCTGGAAGATGAGGAAGCCCAATTTGGCAGGCTAAAGCGAGTAGTGGGGGTTTGCTGGGTATGTCTCGTAAAGATCCTCAGTTAGGGACATTGCAAACTCCATCCTCTCCAGGAGAGCTTCTCTAAGATGTCCCAGGGGGCTGAGGACATGAAATCTGAGTGGACCATGTTCTCTGCTTCTACTGTTGATGCAGCCGCCTGAAGCTATGGACATATTGTCAGCAGTGACCATTGCAGCAGCAACCCCACAATCCATGGTAAATACCAGCAGTAAGGGAAGCTGTCAATTTGAAGAAGGAGTCTTATCAAGCTTGATCGGCATGTAGGACTCCTTAGGCAGAAAGCAGTTATCGTGAGGCCAAGCACGCCACTGCGGCAGTGGCAAAAGCTAAAACTCTGTCAAAGCAATTCTGGAAAATTGTCGGCCACTTCCAGAGGGGGAAGCACTGCTTTGGTAACACTGTTTTTAGTGGCAATTGGGAGTTGCTGACCTTGGATGAAGACATTGTTGGACGGTTAGTGGAATACTTTTAGGATCTCCTCAACTCGGCTGACATGCCGTGATGGTGCCCTTGGGGCTTGCCATGTTCATTACCCTGTGTGCAGCTGTAACAGTTGTAAGCTACTTTTTGTTTCTGTATAACAAAATTTTAAGGTTTTAATGATGTTTCAAAGTGGAAAAAATCAACAAAGTCTCAAGGCACTGTAAATTTACTTGGTGCAATATAACGATTTCAGACTGCTTTAGTGATAATTTAAACATGTTTCATGTGGTTATCTTTTTTTTAAATATGGTAACAGGTTGAAACCTCTAACACTTTCCCAGGTAAAACTCCAGAGAAGGATGGCCAACTGGGCGAAGCTTTGCTGTCGGAGGTCAGTACGCTGTTTGAGATGTTAATGGCGCAGAAGGCTGACACCCACCCAGGCCCTCGGCCTGACGTCCTGTACAGGCTGTCAGCAGCATATCGACGTTCTTTGGGTTTGGACACCACTGCAATGGCTGCAGGCAACACCCTAAAAAACTGCTCTGAAAAGAGACCGGCTGTGGCCTCAAAGCATCAGTACCATTGACAATAACATGCATAATAATCGCACAGAAGACTGGAGGGAAACTGGGACCCTAATCAGAGAAATGTTTTGACTAAAACTTGTAATAAAATTTTTTAGCATTTTTTTGTTATATAGAAGAAAAGTTGCAGATGACATCGGGAGCAGTATTGGGGAAAGAAGCGGTTAGTTTTCCACTTTTTGATAGATTCATTAGCAGAAAATAGAAAAGAAAAACTGTCATTTTCACTATTCACAGTTATTTAGAATTGCAAGGATTCCACCTTGTGTTCAACCTTTTTTACTCAAAAAAATAGTTTTTATTATGTAGGATGAGGCTTCCGTTAATCACTTGGTTGAAGACTACAGTTTATACCACTAGATGGCCCTGTTTTACACATTGGTGCTTGCAAATGCATAAAGACAAAGTAGGAAAAAAATGGCAATATAAAGATATTTATATTTTACACACTGGATAACCGATTTGTCTTTTCATAAGAGATATCAAAAAACAAAAAACAAATAAAGAATACATGTGCCTTTAAGATCTATCTTAAGACTTTGCCAAATGCTATCAAAGAGTTTGCTTTTGCTATCAAAATGCAAAAAACTATTCTAAAAGAAGACAGATACTATTTACAGTTCAATTATACCTGGAGAACTCAGCCTTTCTTCAGGTGGAAGTCTTTTAGATGAAAAAAATAAATTAACAAAAAATGCTAAAAAAAAAACATTTGACATTATTATGTACATCATATCCAATTTTCAATGTGCCTTTTAATCTTCCCTGGATCCTAGAAACAAGAACTGCCTTATATTTAAGTATTTGGTGCCAGACGACACACTGAATATCGGTTTTGTTATAGTATATCGATTAATGTGAAAAGCTTTTAGGTTAAACAAATTTGATACAGAAAAAGGAGTTAGTCAGATGTATGACAAAAAAAAAAAAAAAAAAAAAAATCACTCAGGAAAAAGAGAATGTAGAAGATATGAAAAAAGGACCTAGTTTTTACCATTAACAACGATGCATAGGTGAGGTATAATATTACAGACAATGTGAATAACTTATTCACACCATTCATTTGTCCTCCACACTTCTCCAATAGAAGCTGCAGAAGCCATAACAGTGAATGCTTTAATCTACATGGAGTTGAATCTAAAAGCTGGAAGTATTTTTGGAGTAAAAACTTGCCAAAAGTTTCCCACACAGCAGGAAAAGAGGCAGGTGATCTCCATCTGTTCAGAACCTGATAAAGCCCAATGGGTAGCAGGCGGAAATGTTTTCCTTTTCTTTTTCCTCTAAACTAAAGTTGTGCTAACCCAAAAGGGGTTTTTGATGGTTCCAATGCTCCAAAAGTTCATTAAATGCTGTTGTTTCTGTTTCTTAAATAGCACTTTGTACATATTTTAGCGAATACGTTTTTTCAGTATGAAAATGTATTTTATATGGAAAATTACTTTTATGACTTTTACAATATAATGTAAATCCTGTTTATATTCTGCCCGTCTAAACTTTACAAGAGTCAGATTTATATCATACATGTTAGCATCATCATGAGCATCTATTTCTATCACAGAAACAGCTATTTTCCTTTTGCCCCCCCTCCCTAAATCGAAGAGAAAACCTGCAAAAAGCTGCTCACATAGCAAGAAAAGGCAGTTGACCTTGGTCTAAAACTGGGAAAGCCCAAAGGGTATCAGATAGAATTTTTTTTTTTTTTCATCTGAACTGAAGTTGAAATGAAAATAGAAAAGTTTTTAATTGTTTAAATGCCTCATTCATTTCCCCCCCCTAATTGTTGTTTCTGTTTATTAAACAACACTTTGTACATATTCTCTACTTTTTTCAGTATGAAAATGTATTTTAAATGGAAACTGACTTTTTTTTTACTTTCTCAATAAAATGTAAACCTTTTTTAAAACTCTGTCCATCTAAACTATAGAAGATTCAAGATTTATTTCATTGCATCAACATGCACATCTATTTCTATCACAGAGACAGCTGTTTTCCTTTTGGCCTCCTAAGCTTCTCATTTCAGGCCTAGGTGGATCTCTTGGTTTAGTTTAGATTGTCAAATGTTCAAAATATGGCTACTGTATACTTTGATGAGCTATTCAGCTATTTTGAGGTTGAGTTCAGTTATTTTGTTGAAACTGGGCGCCCTCTGGAGTTCAAAACTTGCTGTTGCAATGAATGTGATGATGCTAGAAGTGTAATCTGTACAAAAATGGTATAACAAAGACTTTTGATCCACACTATTTAGGACTCACTTCACATGAAACATGAAATCAACAGATTTATCTACAAATTGAAAATACTTAGGTATTCAGATTTTCTGATAATTTCTAAATGATAGAAGGAACCCTTTATAAAGGAGCACAATTAAAAATTTCAGTAACAACCCTGGACCCACCAAACCAATAATCATCAAACATTTTGATTATTGCTTGCTTTAACTCTTGTATTGTAACTGCTAGACTCAAGTCTGATGAATTTTGCTGCTGTCCACATTGACAGGTCAAATAGCTTTTGATGTTTTATGATCTGAAAACTAGCATTTTTGGAGAAATACTCAAGGTTCATTTTCTCTCTTAGTCTACTATAAGATAAATTGGTACTGACATGTGGTACCGCAACACTGAACATAAATATGACAAAAACAAGCTGCACATGAATTGCCGCAATAATTTACACATTGATCTTCTATACCAGGCAAGATCCCAGATGCAGGTTTTGCAAAGAGGCTCCAGAAACCATCCGGCATCTAACAGGAAAAGAAACACATGCAATGTCAAAACTAAATGACTGATATAGTGTATAGAAACCCCAGTTTGTGCAGAAGTCAAACTGGAGACCCCCAGATGAAACGGAGTGGCCTCCCAGGTTATGGGAGAATGATAGAGCAAATATCCTTTGACAGACAAAACCAGAGCTCCTTCGGAGGCAAGGAACCGTGCTGGCGAGATGTGTAAACGGTCATAAGGAACCAAGCTCGGCACGGTTAACTGATCTAAGCGTTACCCGAACTCAGCACTGATCAGTTACAGGGGGTAGTGTAAATGGGGCTATACGTTCACTTACTCACTCACACAATCTTATTTTGATGCCAAAGAACATGTTTCTGGCTATTGCCAGGAAGATTTTTCAATTCAAAATGTCTGGATTAGCACAGCCCAACAAAGCCTTTTCAGGATCGTTGAGGTGTTAGCCTATAATACCCGATACTGGCCTATGCCTCTAAAAAAGGGGGGTTTTAGGGTCATTGTTAGCCTGCCTGACCAGGCGAGATGTTTTAGGCCCCTGAATAGTGATGGGGGTTGAGATGATAGCAGGAAGAAATCAACTCTTCCTTCAATGCCTTGAGCCTCGATATGGGAAAGTACCTCTGAAAGTCACCGTCATCCAGACCTAGCCTCTGAAGATCTTGGTGGCATTCCCCCATACTGGTTCTGTCTTTGGGAATCTCGTGAAACCAGCTAAAACGACAGCTTTGTTTGTTTTTCAAAAGTAAAAGAGCAAAGCCAGTCATGTCGTAAATCCATTTCCACCATGTTTAGATGAAAAAATGACCAGCAGACCCAATGACATAGGAGCATTTTGCCTGCTGGTCAATCTGTAATCAACAAACCACAAAGGGGTGAATGAAAACATGTATGCACCAACGTACAGTAAAGAGAATGGCTTAAGTATCCAAATACATGAAATTGATCTTGATCTTAGAAGCCATTGATTAAAGACACTTTGTTGTTGTTCAACAATCTTCTGAAGAGAATGTAGAGGTTGTCCATAATGTGCATAATGTTGAAAAATTCATGTCATAGACTCTGCATCTACCTGACTATGTCAATAGTATTTTTTGGACCATTTTTTTCTCCCACAATGTTTACATTTGATCACTGCTGCACTTTAAGAAATGGAAATGTGATTAGACCTGTATAAAACAAAATTCCGTTTTGTATACACTCTGTGTATACAAAATGACACTAAAAATTGTCTTGGTCTAAAGACAATGTTTTTCATTTTAGGAAGAATTCTTTGTGAAATTCTCTCCAGAAGTTCCAGAGGAGGTGCAAGAACAGAGACAGCCTTCTTTATCAGCTTGTTGTGCTACTTCAAAGAATCTTCTGATATTGTTATCTGTGTTTTCCTCTTGACTGACTTTACATTTGCCTTGTCTAAATAACGGTGTTTGTTAAAGCAGGGCTATGATGGCATCTCCAACTCCATGGTGAAAAGCAAACTGCAGGGGGCCCTGATAGCAGGAGTCTCCTGAACCTTCATGAGGTGGGATGTGAGTTTTCTTTGGTACTGGAAAGAGACAGTAGATCTTCTCATCACAAGAACTGTCTCTTTGGTCAGGCTAAGGTTTAAGAGATGCTGTAGAAAACCATAGAGCTGCTCTACAACTTCAGGACTGGATGGACTCTCTTCAGTTGTCTCTTTTCTTCGCTTTTAGAGACAGGCAGGTGGACTCTATGTCAGTGTATCGACCTCAGACATTGTTTACGCTGCACACATAAAATCTGAATCAAGCATACAGAAGCAGCATTTAGGTTTTACACTCCACTGTGCTTGGACATAATCCCAGTGAACTGTAAAAGTAATGAAATCCTAAGTTCCTTTAAAACATATATGTTTAGAGTTGTGTTTAAAGAGGAGAAGCAGCAGCTTTCACCAGAACCTAGGGTTCTAAATGGATAAACTGTAAATAATAACAAATCAAAAGGCTCTCTCTTGATTTTAGAATATTTTTTGATGATCTGTAATTGAGTTTCTGTACTTTTAAGAACTTCACTTTTTGCTTTTCATTTCAGGTAAACCTCTGAAAACAATCTAATGAGCTCTAAGTATTTAAAGAATCTATCTCACTTTTCAGTTAAAATATCAGTTTTGAAGACAAACTGGCCAAGACTTAACCACAATAAGCTTGTTTCTTCCATGGTCAAAAGGAAATAAATCTGCAAAGTGCAATTGCACTCTCTGCTGTTCAGAGTGCCACCTGTGAGTTACTGAGGGCAATAAAAACCAAACAATCCAATAAAAGCTCAATTAAAAACTACTCTTATATTTTGTTTGTAAATGTCAATAACGCAGGTTTACAATACAACTAATTTCAGACAGAGATGGAGACATGTTTAAGCTTTAAGCAAATCCCTGGAGGAGGTGAAATAGATTCATCTGCCGTGAAATAGAAAAGCAGCCTATTTACTCCGGGACATGTTAAATAAAATGCAAATTTTTTATTACCTCTTCAACTTAAATTGGGGAAGAGAGACATGCTGATAAGAACGGTAAGAAGATAAGAAGATGTCAAT